CTCTTAAGAGGTTAGGTTAACGTTAACGGTTAACCTCGTTACTGCGGTAAATTTTAAATCAAAAAACCTTTAGTTTAAAAAAAAAATAAAATTAGCTGGCAATCCTAAAAATATACAGCTGGTTGACGTCATATTTCAATGGCAGAAAAGGTAAATTAGTTGTTCTTTTCGATGAATGTGCTTATTCAACCAAATTTGGTAATTATGTGAACATACCTAGTTATTGGTCATGGTCCTATATTTATTCTAATAAAAAAAATTGAACTCGAAAGAACATCATCTACATCTTACAGAACACTGTAAAATTAAATATGTGTATTATATCATTGTGTACTGTAATTGAAAACTTGAAAATATGAATTTTTTAACCCAACATCATAATTAAAATAAAMTGCAATATAAACACATGCATTTAATATAATTTTGAACGATTTGACAAAATCGTAATATCGGATGCATTCGAACATTTCGAACACATGAGATCCGAAAATTGATACTATCAAACAAAATCAACATAAACTATTAGAGCATTAGTACTAGGAACGCATGTAGTACATCGTGTTGTCAAGATACGCGGACGACTGGACGATCAGTAACGACCGCAACGCTGGGAACGTCTTTTCCGTATAGGACCCTGGTACTCGAAACGCGGTTTTCGCTCCGTCAAACGCGGTTCCGCGGTCACTCGACTTCGCGGTCCCTTTGACGCTTTACCGCCCACCGCGATCGCTCAACGCGGTTCACTGCCACTGTACAACTGAGCGCGCACGTCGACAATGACCGCCATATACACCGAATGCACGGGCGCACGGCTATAGAATATATCCGAGGCCATAAGCCCGTTATCAGTTTTTAAGGAGTTATGTTTAGGCAATTATTTTGTTCTTTGCGGTTATTCTCGTCTAACTGTGCAATGTGTAGCAATATCACTAATTAATAACTACTAATAAGTAATAAGTAATAATATTATGATGGATATATCATCCATTCATCCCCACCGGCCACCAATCACCCTCATCATACATAATATTACGAATCCGCATGCACATCATGCAATCAATTGTTTATGGACGTGAAATAACTATAATAGCTTGACAAAAATGTAAGTTTTTCCAAAAGGTTCGATTTAAAAAATATAAATATGTTTGAATAAACTAGTTTAACACTTTCAACTTTCCATCTATTGATGCACTTTTTCGSAAATACATGACGGTAACAAATATTTAAAATTACAGACATTTTTCATTCTTAGATTCTGAGCGTAATGATATAATGTATTGGTTTTACAATGATGTGTTTTTTTTTAATTAAACTATTGATTGTTTTCTACATTTTTAATTTTTTTTTAAATACTTCATATTTTTTAATACTTATTTTGCCAAAAATAAGAACTTAGATATTTACATATTTTGACTTTTTTATTGCGTTAAACTCCGTAACATAGTTATGTTGAATAATAAGATGAGATACGTTCAAACTCATCATTACAATTTATAATTAATTTCAAAATATTTTAAACACTTATCGGGCCCGTGCAAGCCTATTTTTTCACTTTTTACCCTCGCCATTAGCAAAATAGGATAGTCTCCCCCGTTGACGAGCAATGGCTTTAACCACAACCACGAGAATACGAGATGACAGAAGAGTTGACCTACAGCTTAAGGTCATTGCAGCCACCGACTGCATATTGATAGTCTAAAATCTTCGGCGTCTGTAATTACCAATATTATACTCGATGGTTGACTTGCAGGCGCAAGATAAGCTTTGCGTACACGACGAAAATGTCTGCACTGGCTGCTGGACCATCAAAGTCTTCGTTTGATTCTTCGGACTTGAAAGGATTTTGCGGATAATCGATTTTTATATCATTCACGATAATTACATAGAGAAAGAGCATCGGTGGGTAATGGAACTATACGTATGGAAGCGCCGAGTTCCTAGGTGGTACTAATATTCGATAGATCTAGACGGCTCCGAGACCAGACTGTCAATAATCGACGCCGCCACCAATTGTGTAAAATATGACGATAGGAAATCTTCTGCACTGTGTATATAACTATGGTCGACTTTACRCAAGCTGTGTAAGTTTTTAAAACGTGATACTATATAAAAATATTATTAAATGTTTTCCGCGTTGTTAAAAAGACGTTGTCATACACATAATTCGTTAGTTATGACTACGAGTATAGGGAGTCCCACCTGTAACCTACACATCCTACATGGAAGCGCGTGAAATGAAGTAGTCCA